TTTCGCATTTCATTCACTGCGACCAATCCATCAGCTGTTTGACACCTTGATAGCCTTGGCCAGTCCACAACTTTTGTCAAACTGTTTTCATCTCTCGTAGTTGGTCTGTTGACAGGTTTCGCCACGCTATTCAATGTGCTCACCACTGTGTCGTGCGTAGCCATGTTTTGGTGAACGCTGGCCCACCAACAATCGGTGGACAGACTAAAAGTTCAGCTTCGAAAGATCATTTCTTCAAAACGCCAGCTAACCCTATTGATGATTGCCTGTTGTTCCTTGCTCTAAAGATGGTAGAATAGAACGGTTATATCTCAGTGGTCCGCGTTTAAGCTGCGTCACACTATTCAGGCTATCGAAGTGAGTTTATACGCCCGACTTTCAGTTTGAGCAAACCCGTACATCACGCATGTAGGAACATTGGTTCTCATTGCCATACACTTAGATTTATGCCCCAATTTATCATCCCCCGCCTGCAATGCGCAGCTACCTACCCCCCCCCCTCAAATCATCGGTGAACGAAACTGCCGCAGCTACAACCACAGTACGACGAGTACGCGGTTCTTACAGCTGACAATGATGATGATGACCGATTCTCTGGGACAGACTCCTTTTCCCAAGTGCAAGCAAACAGATCGGACGAGCACTGACTAAGGACTCCATTCCCGTCTTTGAACAGTGCGAGTGAGAAGTCATCCGGACCAGGAATTCGATGGCGGTTGAGTGATCATATGCAGTTGTAAACCTCCGAGGCCTTAGTTGGTTCCACGTTTACCATCCAGGGTTCTACTTCGCCTGTGGGCTGCAGATAAGTGCCAGCTGGTGGCCACGGCAGTTGTTCGAAGTATTCAGCCCACCGGTCGAGGCGTTTTTCTTTACTCGAGATGGTCCTTCTATTCTGATGCTTGATGGCTTCACTCACAGGTGGTTTCCATGGGCTGGTCGTACGAATCAACTGAAGTAATCTCCGGGCATTACCGGCTTTCTGGGCCTCTCGCATTTTTTGGCTTTCTGTGTCCACCACACTTTACGGTCGGCTTGCACACTTTCGTTTGACGTCTGATAACTCTTCGCATCGGGTTGTGTTCGGCACCTGCTGGGATATTTCTCCGATATCTAAGCAGTGCCACCGTTCAGTCTGATAACCAATGCTTGGGTGCGCCTGTTTGGACCATGCCACAGGCAAAATTCCCAGCACCTTGCAAAGAGGTGGTAATCTCCTCTCAGTATGAGTCCACATCTGATGGTGGGGCATTTGGAAGACTCTGGACGAGGATTCTGTTAAATTCGTCTAACATTCGGATCTGCCAGTCTCTCAGTTGCGAGGCGATTTGTAAAACGTAGGGGGAAGCGACTCCGGACGAGCGCGTGATCAGAGTCCAAAATGTGCGCGCACACCTGGACAGGGGACGATTAGGGTCTTTAACCACAGCCTGACCGCAAGGCGAAGGTGTTTAGTGTGAAATGCAAGTGCATTACTAGCCTGACCGCAAGGCGGTGTTTAGTGTGAAATGCAAGTGCATTACTACTCATGTAGAACAAGTCATCATACATTTTCCAACCCCATAATTGGAGGGTCAAGATACTGTTGGTCAGACCTCTAACCGCTGACCCACCTGGTTTTTCTGGGGACCCTATGGGAATCACGCGGACATCACCCAGTATAACTCAATGAATTATGGATGCACACAAACTGTCACCCCACGACAAGGTCAAGTCGCCTTGTGATGGCAATCAGGTCAGATGTGTTGAAGTCTTGTACACGGATCATTCACATAGGCAACGAGACACGTCGGGACAAACGGCACTCTAGGGTCTCATGAAGTGGATGGGCATCAAATAAAATGAAAAAAATTATTCAGCTGTAATACCCTTTCGGTGCTTAGCTGTCATGCCACACGAAGAGGTGACACGAGGGCTGAGATACTGCCTGGCTGCCCAAGCCTAAACAGGGGAAGTCGAGAGGCAGAGGTCAGGTTCGAACCAGACTTTCCGGTCCGTAAATTCGCGCTCTAACCACTGAACCATCTCGCTCGGCGTCAAACGGAGCAGTTCCCGGTCAATTTCCAGGGCACCGAAATATCCGACAGCCGAACTATCACCGCCATCGGCGCCTGAGCACGGTTTCTAAGCCAGTTGGTGGGCATTGTGGCTCTGCAAGGCACATCGACAGTGACTGAGTGCATCACCAGAGAGTACAAACTTCTTCATTCTCTGCACACGCAACTTCAACCACGTAAGCCCTCCAGTTGTTCTTCCGATATAGATATCATGATTATTGCGTGCTTGTCGTTAAACTTACAAAATTTACTTGTACTGAACCTTTGTATGTACATTTCAGCTCATCCACGCTTGTTCTTAGAAAAGTAAAACGTTGCTCATCCTCGAAAACCCGGACTCTGTTCTAGCGCGTCCTCGGATACATTCTAAACGTCTCGATTTACTTGTCTGAAAACACAATGGATCCGCATCTATGACCTCCATTCTTCGACGCTGACCCAAACCCCGCAGACCGAGCAAAACACTGGAATCACTGGTTTCGTACCTTCGAAACCTATCTGAAAACTGTCGAATCTCCTAAACCCGATAAACTTGAAACTATCACCCACTTTGTGGATCCGCTGGTATACGATCACATTGCCCATCACACTGAATATGAATCTGCGATCGACGCGTTAAGAAAACTATATATCTGCCCAAAAAATGTCATATATGCACGCTACCTGCTGCGGACCTACGAGCAGGAGAGCGGACAGGATATTGATCAGTTCGTACGAAAACTGAAATCATTAGCCAAAGACTGTGATTAAATCGGTATCTGCAACGGAATATCAAGATGTGTTCGCGCGTGATGCTATAATTAATGGCCTGGCGTCCAGGCCCATCCGCGAAAAACTTTTAGCACGCAGCGAACTCGCTCTGGACTAAGCATATCAGCTTGCTAGGTCCCTCGAATTTGCTCACAAACAGACACAGCTATATGTTAGCAACGAACCTATATCCTGCTTTACGATTCCGCCCATTCCCGAATTCCGAATTACGTTTCGATCCTACCACTGCTGCTGTGAAATCCAAACATGTCATTTCTGCGGTTATGATACACATCCTCGCCCAAAGCGCCCGCCCGAAAAGCCGTCTGTAATCTTTGTGATAAACACGGTCACTTCCGCCGTGTGCCGTTCTAAAAATACTACCAGCTTCCACACAAGTTGTACAAAGAGGCCAAATTTGTCGTCATCACTCGTTGCAGCAGCACCCGCCTGCCTGACACATGCTATCGCTGTCCGTGCTCTGGTCAATACAGGAAGTTCTTGTAGTTTCATTAGCTCTAACGCCGTAAAACTGCATAACTGGAAAACTTACCCAACTTTCTCAGCCGTCACAATGGCGTCTATATCTCTATCATGTCGAACGATTGGTTACGTTTGTGTGTTTCTGTCCGATACAGAGATACTTCATACGATGAACTGAGGCTCTTTGTAACGCCAAAGCTCTGCACCAACGTTTTACTTGGGCACGATTTTCTAGGTCTACACAGAAAAGTAGAAATTTCAATCGGCGTGATGTGTTCACCGTCTGCGGCCTAACGGCTGTAAACGATGAATCACTATCATTTTTCGCCAATTTGTTTTCAGGTTGCAAGCCCGTTGCCACCAAATCAAGATGGCATCATCCGGATGATGAAAAATTCATTCGCGTCGACGTTGGCCGTTCATTGCAAGAAGGTATCATCGAGCCGTCAACGTCTTCCTGGAGAGCACAGGTTTTAGTTACCAAGACTGCCAATCACAAACGCCGCATGGTTGTTATCAGGAAGGTCCGATTCCTGAAATCAACTTCTGAACGCCCGGAACCTATTGCTCCACCAAAAGCTCAACTGGAAAGCCGGCAAGCATCCAGGCCAGTCGATCATTAGATCAATTCAGTAAAACCTGATGAGTGTTCTCTGCGCCACAGAAGCACGACCGAATGTGATCAGCGTTCAGGCTTTTCACAGAGGCACGATCGATGTTGATGGGTGATCAATAACGCCTATCAGACAGCCTGCATCAATGTCAGAAACTCCTCTTTAAATAGCGTGGGGCCGTTGTAACTTTTGCACTCGATCTCGCTCTCTCACTCACTCACTTGTTCGGAATACAGCTGTTGTGTTCCCTTCTGTGAGTCTTTTCTCTCCGACACTAGGCACTGGAGCGGGTCAGCAGCAAATACCACGGGCCGACGAAATAGCAGATATAACAGTTGTTGACTACATCTAAACTATCAACCGGTTCACATATCACATATCTGCCACGTTTGGATGAAATGGCTGAGGAAATTTCGCACACTAGACATATTGTCTGCTTACCATCAAGTCCCCATCTCTGCATCCGACAAACCTTTTACAACATTCGAAGCATGTGGTGGCCTGTTCCAGTTTTGCCGCATACGCTTCGGTGCCACAAAAGGTGTTGCTATTAACAGTATCATTACGACTGAAAAGCTGAAAAGCACATATGCCTACATAGACAATGTGACTATTTCTGGCAATATCCAAGATGAACAAGACCTCAATCTCCAATCATTTTTGAGCTATGAGGAAGTACGGGATCACGCCCAACGACGACAGAACCGTCACTGCTTTAAAAGTCATCCGCCTCCGAGGTTGAGGTTTCAAAGGGTACTATAAGGCCAGACCCTGAACGTATGGAACCTATCCGTCAGTCACCGCGTACTACCACGGACATGCAACGCGTCATCAGTATGTTCGCATATTACATCCATTGAATATGTTTGTTTTCTGACAAAATCAAGAAACCTGCTAAAGATAAAACATTCTTTCTACCTGCCGACGCCGAATTAGCCTTGGACAACCTAAAAAATGAACTACAAAATGCTACGCTAATTAACGTAGATTATAACCACCCTTTGGTTGTTGAAACGGATGTCGTCGTTGATTGAGACACACTCTAAACTTATCAATAGGATGAATTCATCTTAAAATTTAACCCGGGATGATCAACTCCAGCAAAGAAGCAACCTGACAACCGAATTTCTGGCTCGAGAATATCCGCGGACTCTCAAGTCTCACTGACATCCAGTATGCCAACAAAACTGCCACTCCTTACATTCAAATTAAAAATCTTCAGTCCATTGCTGTCTCTATGATAGGGGACAAAGCCACCACTTGGTCTATAGTGTTTCTTTTACGGTACGAAAATCCATAGTTTGGATACCTGTCTCACCGCCGGTTCATAGAGCTCTCAAGTTCTAAACGGCTTCTCCCATTCTAGTCGGGCCTTCCGGAGAAAGACCAAAGAGAAACTGGAAGGATTTACTCTTCGGGTGTTGACTCCTCTGAAAAAAGACCCTTCGTTCGCAAGAACGACTTTTAGATGGCGGATTTCGCCGTCGGCCCCTGATTTCCATTCACAACGAAACATCGAGACCGCGTTAATTCTGGATTCACCTGTATTGAACAGAATGACAACCACCGACTTGACAAATTTCTTATCATGGGGCGTTATGTTGGCAGGATCTTACTTTTCAGACTCTGGGGAGCTCAATATGATCAGACAGTGAATCATCCAAAACATCAAACAGCCCTGTAGAGGGTGTTTCCGAAGAGTCCCTGGAACTTCCGTAATCCAATGCCAAGAGGTTTCTCGAGCGAACCCCTCCTGTTTGGAAACTTTGGCCAAGATGGCCCGTCGTTG